CCCCTTTGGGTTTATCGCCGTAAATATCGACTTTTCTTTTATAATAACTGTTAATATATGTATTTAGTTTGTGGGAATGGCATCACCTCCCCCTCCCCCCCCCCCAACGCCTCGACGGAATAGAGCATGGGTATTTATATATATATATATATATATATATATATATATATATATATATATATATATATATATATATATATATATATTTTTTTTTTTTTTTTTTTTTTTTTTTTTTTTTCTGACATATGCCCTAGTATATAATTATATTAAAAATAGAATTACTCTTCAACGGCAACTAAAAAGAAACAGAATTTAGACGCACTCAATAAAAATAATCCGTAAGCCATTTTACAGAGAAAACATAAATACTTTTGCATTTCCATCGTTTAGTTAACACATTGTGGAAAGTCTATAAAACATTTAAACCTGTAGGCAAAACGATGTAAAAAAAAAAAAAAAAAAAGAACTGATAAAAACGTAACTCATATGAAACTGATTTAAAGAGACATTTTCACCAAGTCTATTGAGAAGCTTTATGATCAGGCTTCATTCAAAACCCAAATGGGGAAAATACCTAAATAAATACAGCAAATAATTTATCAATCTTATCTTTCAACACAATGCAATATTTTGACGATGAATTAAAAGGATCTAATAATCTATGTACAAAAATTATCATTTTTTCTAAACTTTTCGACTTTTTCAGTCATTTTTCAACCAACAGTCGACTTGAGGCAACAGACAGCCAGCTGGCATTTGCTAACTCGATATCTCCATCATTTTGAGATAAAATAATGAAAACAAAAATGTAAAAAGCAGCAGGTATCTCATATTACTAACCGCCCGCCATTTATTTTAATATATTTCACATTTTAACTCTCTTAATGGTTGAAAAAATCCATTACTGACCCCCCATTAATTTAGCCTAGAGTGGTGACGAGAGGCAAAGTATTAAGTTACTTTTTTTTTAATGAACAAATAATGATATTAAAAGTGAAATTTTCCTTTGAAATCTATTTACAAATAATGATCTTAAAAGTGAAATCTACTTTTGATATATTCAAATATAGAATTCTTACAGGTTCTCACTAAAAGTAAGTTCGTAGCGGCTTGAGATTTACAAAATTTATAAAAGAAAATCTGATAAGAACGTGACATATAGTGATGTATTACATGATGTGTGTGTGACCGAGAGTGTGCGTGAGTGAGAGTGAGAGTGTGAGTGTGAGTGAGTGTGAGTGAGTTAGAGAGTATGAGTGAGTGAGTGTGAGTGTGAGTATGAGTGTGAGTGTGAGTGAGAGTGAGAGTGAGAATGAGAGAGTGTGAGTGTGAGTGTGAGTGAGAGAGTGAGAGTGAGAAAGTGTGAGTGAGAGTGAGAGTGTGAGTGAGTGAGAGTGAAAGTGAGTGTGATAGAGTGTGAGTATAAGTGTAGGTGTAGTGTGTCAAAACAAAAAAAAAGAGATGAAGATACTGCAACAGACAGCTGAAGAGAACATTGATGATGATGATATTAATCGGTTATAACAATACCGATGATAAAAGTTATTATAATGAGGTTAAGTGATGAGAATGAAGATAGCGTTTATAATTTAACTGTATTTGATACACCTCATCTATAATACCGATATCAAAGGAATGAGAAGTGAGGCAACATGTAATAATAACAATAAAAAGAAGAGATCATTACAGATGAACAAACTGTATTCGCTTTCAAAGTGAACACTAATATTCCATCCTTTCATGCCGTCTGTCTTTCTCGCCCGGTTTCCCTTTACTTTCAAGCAACGAATGACAGTCATTTATTTTTCCTTTATGTATCACGCATGCTGGAGCTTTACAGGTGTTTAGCATGGATGAGCTTAATGATTTAGGTCGTTTGATCAAAGTTAAAGTAATGTTTTTAATGAAGCTGTGACTGAATTATGCAACGATTGACAATGCAAAAATAACTTTGCATTAACGTAATTGCGTATCACAGCAAAAAAAAAAAAAAAAAAAAAAAAAAAAAAAAAAAAAAAAAAAAAAAACGAGTCACAAACACGAACTCAAGTTAGCAGAGCGATCTAATTAACAATTAATGAATAATTTTATGATTGTGTCCCGCCGGAATACGGTTGTAATTACAAAGCAATTCAGTTGCCACATCACGTAATGATATTGTTAATTGTGCATAATGTAACGCTATGGCTGTCAGACTGAGCCTTTCACTAACTGTAAATTTTACCTAAATCCACTAATACTCTTCATAATTATGCATAATTTTACCTAACAACTTGTTCTAGTATTATTATTACATGGAACATAATCAATTCGTGTTAAAGAAACCGTAAATGATACAAAAATAAATATAAATCTTACCTTAGTCTAATTCAAAAAGATCAGCTTCGTGACAGATAACACAACGAACGAAAATTAAAAAAAGAAACACTTTTCAACTCCCTTTCAAAATAATCCACAACTTAAAAGAATAACTAAGCTCTCGAATGGTAAAAGAACTCCCGAAATATAAGAACAGTCATCATCAAAAAACAAGGTATTTAGATGACTTTGAACCCGTGATGGCTGAACGAAGTGGAAGTGAGTCTTGAACGAAACACTTAATTCGAAACGCGGTTCGCTTCTTTCCCTTTCCGTGTGAAGTGAGTCTTTTCAGAGTACCCATAAATATCCGTATTTTAAACATTATAATAAGAGGTAGTATTCAGTGTGAAGTGTGAAGTGAGTCTTTTCAGAGTATCCATAAGTATCCGTATTTTAAACATTATAATAAAAGAGGTAGTATTCAGTGTGAAGTGAGTTTTTTCAGAGTATCCATAAGTATCCGTATTTTATACATTAAAATAATAGAGGTAGCATTCCGTGTGAAGTGTGAAGTGGGTTTTTTTCAGAGTATCCATAAGTATCCGTATTTTAAACATTACAATAACAGAGATAGCATTCCGTGTGAAGTGTGAAGTGAATCTTTTCAGAGTATCCGTAAACTTAGCCGTGTTTTAAACATTATAATAATAGAGGTAGTATAAGAGTAATATTAGAGTTATTAGTAATATTACAGACTTCGAATGTCATACCCGAGAGTGTAGCTGTGTTTGTGCATTTCCAACCTTTAAGAAAAAAAAGTAATATTGGAGTATTGATATATATCATATCCGTAAGTATGGCTTGTGTTTCTGACATAATGAAATATAGGCCTAGACATAATAATATTAGAGTATTTGCTATATATATTATCTCCCTAAGGCTTGGCATGTCGAAAGGTATTTAATAGTAACAGGTATTGTGATATATATTTTTTTCAGGTAATACTGTAGGGCGCGTTTTTATTAATCAACCTCAGGCAGAGTCAGAGAGAGAGAGAGAGAGAGAGAGAGAGAGAGAGAGAGAGAGAGAGAGAGAGAGAGAGAAAGAGAGAGAGAGAGAGAGAGAGAGAGAGAGAGAGAGAGAGAGAGAGAGAGAGAGAGAGAGAGAGAGAGAGAGTAAGAGAAAGAGAAAGAGACAGAGAAAGAGAGAAAGAGAAAGAGACATTAATAGGTAGGTAGTTGGAAGAAAGATAGATATGAATATATAGATATAGGACAAACAGATAAAGAGAAAAGGAATCTCCAAAGAGGACCATCCTTTTTTATAAGAACTACAAGAAAAACTCCGAACCCCAATAAACAGTACAAACATATATCTTTTTTTCCCCGATGGACAGTGTAAACAGTCGTTACACACCAACAGTCGGCGAGATCCAAATACAACGTCAATATATACGAGATGTCTTTACTTTCAAAATGTCAAAACATGATATAAAACGAATTGAATTTTCCCCACATTCCAGTCAAACAATATGAAACGAAGGACAATAGCACTCGTGAGAATTTTATAATGCGAATTCATGAGAATTTAATTTTAATTTTGCATCAAAAATATATTTCCTTTTCTGTTCTGTCTGATAACATTTGCGTCTATTTTCACATGTGTAAATGTGTAAAGATTTTATATGCATATGTTTCTCTCATTTATCTATTTTACCATTTACTTGTTTTGATAGCAAAGTATTTGTTTTATCTATTCATTTATTTCAGAATTTCTATCATTTAATAATTTTCTTATTCATCTTCAAGTCGATATATTTTATTACCTATGTATTGTTGTTAATGTTATTATTATTATTATCATCATCATCATCATCATCATCATCATCATCATCATCATCATCATCATCATCATCATCATCATCATCATCATCATCATCATCATCATCATCGCCACCACCACCACCACTATTACCATTATATCCTTCATTATTATTCTTTGCTGCAATCATTACTCATATTTAAACAAGATAATTTTTTTTTTTTGCCAAAATAACACTCGTCACAAAGGAATTTCGTTTCTTTTATCGTTTACATTCAGTATTTTATTGTTAAAAGTGTGTATAGAATATTCCAAAGCAAGTATTTTAGTATTTTGTTTTTCATTATCATATTTTCATATTCAGTTGACGAAGCTAAGGTGTTAAGTCATGTGGTGTGTTGCAGAGACGTGCAAGATTTTCTGTTGGTTGGGTTGTTTTCATGTGTCTGTGCTTGATTTGTTCCTTAAAATCAGATTTCTTGTATGTATAAACGCACGCAGAAACACACACAACGCCTCACTCTCTGTTTAAAACGTGTTAACAAACGGCAAGCTATATATTTTTATATTTTGGATAATCTCAAAATCACACAGGGCTTCCATATAATAACTGACCATATGGATATTGTTAAACCCATGTTTTCATGTATTCCCCGCTCTGGGATTTATGTAAAATCTCTAGAATTACAAATTCGAACATTATAGACATTTGTGTGTGTTGTGTGCGCGCGTGCGTTTGAGCGCGTCCGTGTGTGTATTATATCCTTCATTATTAATTCATGCGCGCATGCATATATGCATGCATTCTAGTGATTAAGAACAGCATAGAATTCATACACCAAAAATCTCGAAAGGTTCCATGAAATAAAACTCTCGAATACATCAAAATCGCCTTTATTGTCTCTGAATATATGGCTTTTTCCCTCCGCTGGAGTCTCACGGAAGAACGTCGCAGGTCGCGTGGAAGCACCAACAGGGACAGGGAGGCGCCACGCTCCACTCCGGCCACGGTCACCTCCTCTACCTCAACGCAACGGAAAACAACTCAGATAAACGTGTAGCTTTTTTTTTCTTTCTCTTTTTTTTTGGTTATATATAAGTGTGTGTTACAGGTACTTTGCTGTTAAAAAAGGGTGACTTTGGGTGGGCGGGGTACAGCGCAGCAGCTAGTTCACAAGGTTTAGCGTCCAAATACACAAGGAACGTCTGGTGGCAACACTACTCCGACCAGGTGATTGCTAATAAGTGAGTAAAACACTTTTTCTTAAGTTATTCTCTGAGACTCCAAGGAAGACTATATACAAAAAGCTCAATTCTAACTCTGTACATAGAAAATTCATATAAACAACATGAAAACCTTTTTTTTTTAATGACTGTATCAAATGTGTTGCCATCGTGTTATATTGTATATATTTTTTTTTAGTATTTTTTTTCGTTTTTTTTTTTGTTTATATGGTTAGGAATTTCTCGCATTCTGAAAGAACCAAGGAAGACCATCTTTGCTCTCAAGAGGTTTTCCTACGCACTCCAGTTATAAGGCAGCTGATTAGTTGTTGGGTCGTACGGTCCCAACAACAGAAGAAAAACTTTAATTGCGATTGGCTGGTCCGTTGTTTGTCATTGGCCATGAATGTGTATGGTTTGTGTTTGTTTGTTTTTTTTTGTTCATTTTTCCCCCTTTTTTCTGTTTTACTTCCGCACCAAACGACCTCGGCAGTTTCAATGAAGAAAATGATTCTTTGGTAGCCAGAGCGATATCTAATTTTAGAATTAACAAGAAACATTTTTAACAGTACTCATAAAACATCTATAAGTACACTAGGAGAACTATTTTCGTCATTTGAAATAAAAAATCGCAGCCAAAAGTTATACATCATGATGAAATTTCCTTTTTTTTAAATTTTAATCAAGTAGTTTATAGACTTCAGGATGCAATGTCGTTAACCAATGTCTTCTAACACTGCTAAGATGTAAAATAATGTGTATTATATAAGACGACAATTCAACAGATATCCTGAGAAACTGCTAATCATCTCTATATCAGTACTGTACAAAACATAAAGCAATGTACAGCGGTGTGTGCATAGTGGGGCTGCATAGCTGGACGGCGGGAAAGCAACCTGCGGCCGTCCACACACACCATCCACACACCGTCGGGCTCTCCTACCTCTCACAGCACAAGTGTCTCTCTACTACGAACACACAAGCGTTTTATATAAGTGGGGTGTTGGTGGGGAGGGAAGGGGTTGGGAGGGGAGGGGAGGGGAAGGGAGAGAGGGAAGGAGGTGGGAGGTTTACTGTCAAAGTTTGAGAAGCCGCGAAAGAAAAGGTGTCATGCTCGGTGATACTGAATAGTTTTCCCCTTTTTTGGGGGGAAAATCTCGTGTTTTATTATATAGTTAGTGTATATGGATTCCCTCTATAGTGACTAAAAAAAAAAGTGGATCACAGTTACTATCCCCGCGACTACGAGAGCGAGTCAAAGGTGACCATGAGGGACAGAGAGCATTGGAGGTGCGGGGGGGGCGTGTGGGGGGGCTTCGGTGGCTCCCGTGAAGAGGCGCCTCTCGGGGCGGGGGGTAGGGGTGTTGGGGCGGCCTCGCGAATACAACATGCACCTTCTTCAACGTAATTCCGTCGGGCAGCTGCTTAAGCCTGGTTCGGGCGTGCAGCGCAGACACGCCGGATGTCCGCGCCCACGCCCTCGTCTTAAGCAGTCCTCTTCGTATTAGCTGATGGAACATTCTGCATTTGAGGATTTTTTTTTTTTGCAGGGCGAATCATCGGTAACCTTCGTGCAAGACTGGTTCATCACGTTATTATTATTATTATTTCTTTTAATTCATCACATAAAACATCCCTGTCTTAAGTAAGAATTTGGACCCACGATTGCAATATTTGATCAAAATTCCCCTCAAATCTTGCACAGAGGTCCCCCAAAACTGCCCCATATTGGCCTTTCAAGTCAGGCCCACCTCATGGCGCTGTTCAGGAACGTGAGGCCGGGATCTCTCCATCAAGACGAGTGACACGAAAATTTTGAAGAAGAAAAATAAAAAAAATCCCCCAAAAAAGGACTTCAAGAATCATTCAGCTGAAAGGGTCAACTCTCTCTCCTCTCACGCCCTCCTGGACAGAGTACCAAAGAGGCAGTTTATTAATGCACTTAGATTTCGATCAAGGCTGTACTGGATTTGCTTAATTAATCTATTTTTTTTTATATTTTTTACACGTGACAGACTGGGCACCAAGCACTTCGGTTGCAAGTTATAGCAGAAGGCTCCCGACTGTAATTTAGTACATATTTATTATCTTCCTTTGAGATACAGCACAATTCTCTAAGCATGATTCCTTGACATATAAAATATCAACGCCAGTACATCCGTTTTCTTCTTTCTTACACTACATTGTTTTTTTTATGGCAATATCACACAAGTGTAAATAAATAAACTATACAACATCTTCCATGACACAAGAAACCAGGGCTATTACTTTCATAGCAGAACCGAAGTATCTATGTACAAAAACCGAGAAAAAAATTCGAACCATCAGGATCGTTAACAATGCAGTCACTCAGGACCGCTTCACTGGGCATGCACCTGTGGCATAGAGTTATATATATGTCTTAAAAGAGAGGTAACATCTATTAGGCAATGGTACTCTATACAAACATGGACGAACTGTCTGAACACTTGACACACGTGAGGTGCAGCAGCTACACGTTCCCACTTAGCCTATACACAGGGTCAGAAAGCTCGTGGTATGGTCAACTATCATGCTTTTTTTTCTTCTTCTATCATGGTTATATTTGTTGGTGGTGATTGTCCTGCTGGCTATGGCACGCGGTCTCCTTCGCCGCAAGAGGAAAAAAACTCGACGTCAAACACGGCAACGATTGGTCAATATTGCACTGAGTTCACTTCGGGCTCTGCAAAAGCTTCTGATGAATCACAAAGAAGCGGACGAGAGCGCTAGTCAAGCGTTTACTATTTTATTTTCACATTTTCCTTAGCACTTTTGTGTTCCATTTTGCTTTTTTTTTTCTTCTTCGATTCAGACACTGAGGCCGGCCAGATCACACTGGCGATGTCCCTTAGTCTAAACATCTCACTTCAGGCAACAAGTTCAGGCACAGATCCGAACACAAACTGAAGTTCGTTAATGAACGTGTTGACGAAAACGGAACGAGCTCTTTTTTTTATGAAAGATAAACAGCATCCCATAACTTGTGGTACTGAATGCCTTGGCGAGTGCACACACACACATACACACATCTGGCAAACATGCACAAGAAAGCTTTTTATTTATAGGATAACTAATGTGGAAAAAAGAATGTCAACTTATACGTGTATATCATCCGTTTGATATACCGATGTAGGGAGCACAAGATAGCACAGTTTTCTAAACCATAAGCGTCCTGGTTATTCTCACCGAAAGAAGGTTCCAACTCGTTTCCAGAAAAGAAAACGCAAAAAACACTCAATGAAGTCTTCTACATCCGAACGAAACGCGACCCACGGCGACGGCGGGGGGGGAGTCGAGGCCCCTCCTCTTCATGATCGACTTCAAGGGCGTCGTCGTCGTCTCCCGCCCTCAGATCCAGGCACCGGCGTGGCTCTCCAGGATGTGGGCAGCGTCGGGCCGCCCCATCACCCGGAGGACGTTCAGGAGGTCCGTTAGGGCGGTGGGCTCCCGGTGCCGCGCCTCCCACAGGTCCAGGATGTGCTCCGTCGGGCTGGACTTGCAGGCGAAGTAGTTCAAGTACCTGCCGAGGAGAGACAGAGAGTTAAGAGGGGCGTCCTGTTAGCAGAAGACTTCGCGACTTTCCTATATTTCATCGTCCACTTTAGTCCTTAGACCTGGACTGAAAGGAAAAAGGAGAGAACGCCCATCGTCAGACAAACGCCTCGTGCATATTCCAGCCCACACACCTATCCACGTTGAGCCTGGCTGCCAGCATCCTCCAGTCGTTCCCGCGGGCGTTGGGTGGGTCCAGACACCGGCACAGCTCCCACCGGAGGCGCTGCGGCAGACGGAACGCCCCGGGCTCCGGCGTCAGCGTCACGAGGGACGAGCACCCGCTACTCGACGTCACTGCGAAGGGAATTTTATGTATTAACTACTTGTAACAGAATCATTATCACTAGTAATAATCAAACTCTAACTGGACTGTCACCATGGTCTTCTATACCATACATACGAGCAATATACAAGCATAATATAACACATACAAGCAACATACACGTATAATATAACACGTATCATAGCTTTTCACCCTCACTACACCAACGCACCTGTGGAGGTCCTCGGAGCCATGTGCGCGGGCGACGCCGTGACGGGCGCGTAAGGGAAGTCGGAGTTGATCCTGATGAGCTGGCGGTGCGCCGACGACCCCTTCTGCTGCGCCACCACCCTGCAGGCGAGGGCGGCCGCCGTGCCCTCGCTGCGCTCCAGGGTGAAGGTCGTGCTCACCGTCTCGCTCTTCGCGCCCCAGATGGCTTCGAACGAAATTTCCTACGGGGGGGAGAGGGGAGACGCTATTCAATATGCTTCGGAAATGTCCCGTGTTAGGTTCTTTTCTGAATCTTAATGTTTTATTTGTATAAGTACTGAATATACAACATTGGGTTTTTGTTCCAGGTATTAATTTTTTTCGAGGTATTACATTTTACACTATCTACCACTTCCTTGAGACTATAAACCAACGTACTAAATCGAACACCACCCACATAACACAACCCAACTGAGTCCCACGAACCCTAACCTGATAATGTTGACCCGGACGGATGCGCCAGCCGGGAGCCAGGTCATCCAAGGTGAGGCAGAGGTTAGCACCGCAGTCCTGTAGCAACAACATCTTTGGCTTGTCCAGCAGGGAAGCCCCTCGACGCCGCTCCTTCGAGGTCACGTCTGGAGGAAAGAAAAATATGAAAAACAGGTCACGGACATGTTTGGGTTTGAAGCTTGAAGTTTGAAGATGTAGGACAAGATACGATGTTACAATGTTGAAAGATGGGATTAGTGGCCTATATTTGGTATAGGATTATCAACGACGGATTGTAGGGTTTTATGCACGAGGTCATCATGAGGTCATCCATTTTGTTAAATAGAGGAGAATTTGGCTTTCGTAAAGGTAATTTGCCACTCTTTATCATCCCGAGGTCACTGTAACTCACAGGCGAGCGCGGCGGTGGTGTCCTGCATGACGTGAATGGTGACAGTGAGCGTGCCTGACGGGGTGGGCGGGGGGGCGGCCGCCACTACCTTGACCTGCTTGACGGCGGCGTTGGAGCCCGCGCTCTCGCCCACCAGCACGAACTGCCGCAGCGACTCCGTCATCATATGCACCTGCGGGAGGACGACGGGTTAGTTGAATGGTCGTAATTTTATTAAATTTGCTTCTATCTACCCCAATCAAATATCATGCATATATTTTGATTAATTAAAGAGCTCTACATATCTAAGTCTGCGTTCATCAAATGTGACCCGATATTATATACCGTATAAACATACATTATAAACATCTTTCATAAGTACTGCACACAATCCACATCAAACATATAACGCACAATTACACAAACAAACATACAAATAAACAGACAGACAAATAACCAACCAAACACATCCATCCACAAAAAAAGAAACAAAAAAAAACAAAAAAAATACGATCCGCCTCCCGACCTGCGCGCCGTCGAGCTGCGTGAAGACGGGCGTGTCGATGCGCTCCTCGCCGATGGTGATGAGGCGGGTCCAGGACTCGTCGCCGAAGAAGCTCGACGACGACGCTGACGAGGCGGACGAGACGGTGCCGACGGGGGGCGGGGCCGGAGAGGCGAACACGTGGATCTGCCAGGCCGCGTGCTGGAGGGAGGCGCAGTGCTCGAAGGACAGCACGGCCGGCTTCAGGAGGTTCACGCTGGTGGGGCCGCAGCTCACCACGGGGCTCAGCAGCGTCTGCGGGAGAGGAGGGCGGAGGGAAAGAGTTACAAGGGGCGTGGACTCGGCGGGGTTGCGGGCGGGGTTGGTGGGGAGGGGGGAGCGACGTAAAGAGGAGATAAAAGTCAACATAAAATAAAGTCACCAAAAATATGAGGCGAGTAAGCAGATTGATAATAATAATAATAATAATAATAATAATAATAATAACAATAATAACAACAACAATAATAATAATGATAATAATGATAATGATAATAATAATAATAATAATAATAATAATAATAATAATAACAACAACAGTTAAAAAAAGGAAAACAACATAAGTCTAACAAACAGACCCACAAAAACCCGTAATAATCCAAACACGAGCCAAAAAAAAACAAACAAACCCAAGGAAGCCGACCCTCACCTGCCTATCGGTGAGCTTGGGCACGTGCGCGTTGGGCATGACGCCGATGTACATCTGCTGGCGCGCCTCGGGGGGAAGGGCGCCCTCGGGGACAGTGAGCACCACGCCGTACTCGCCCACCACCAGACGCCCGCCCGCCGCCGTCATCACGCCCCACGCGGCTCCGTCGGCGCTCAGTAGCTCCTTGGGCGGCTGGCTCTCGCGCCCACCGTCGGACGCGGAGGTCGGCCGGGAACCTGGGGGGGGAAGGCAGCGTTAGGGAAGGGATTAAGGGCGAATTAAGGAGAGGTTATTAAGGGCGAATTAAGAGGTTATTAATTAAGGGGGGTTATTAAGAGTGGGTTTATTAAAGGGAATTTAAGAGCGTTTTTTTCAATATGGAACAAATAAGGGTAGAATTACATACAACGGTAAAATAAGAAAGCTGGCACTGATAAGGAAGAAATAAAAAGGGGTGTGGCTTACTAAGGATAAAATGAATTTAATGTTCATCAGCGTATTAACAAAAAAACAAACAAAAACAAAAAAACAAAAAACATGGCTGATCATTGCTGAAAACAACAACAGAATACTTCACGTCACACAATCAAAACAATAACAAATTATAGTAATATTACACAAGTACATTTTTATCTATCATCAGTAATTACCCAAAAGCGCCCATACCAACCAGGCATTTCGATATGTTCAGTGTAATTCGCTTTAATGGCATTTGAACGGCAGCACGCAGCTCACCTCATCAAATAAACAGAAAATGTATAATATATAATCATACTAATTAATGGTGAGTAAGCGATTCAGTGCAGCATATTCTTTCTCTCTCTTTCTCTCTCTCTCTCTCTCTCTCTCTCTCTCTCTCTCTCTCTCTCTCTCTCTCTCTCTCTCTCTCTCTCTCTCTCTCTCTCTCTCTCTCTCTCTCTCCATTTGTGTGTGTATGTATATATTCTACCTGACACCCCCTCCCCCCCTTATGTCTACGCATGTCACTTTGTAATGCTGTCACCATTGCGTTATAAATCTGGTGTCACTATCATAGTCATGATGAAAATAAAATATCTAAATAATTACATTTTCTATTAATATGTTAATAAGTGAACTTGTATGTAAAGAACTGCTTATAACTTTCATAATGACAGATGTGAACCTTCACTGCAGAGGTACTTGCAATATCTTTATGCAAACCGTACTATGGCAGAGAAGTAGCTGCTATATTTAGCTTCAAAGATCCACAAACACAGATAAACTGATCAAGGGTGCCACTTCACATACGCAGCCACACACATACAAAGGAACACACACACAGCCACATGAACTCAATGTCTGTTTCTGTCTGTCTGTCTGTCTGCTCTCTCTTTGTCTCCCCCTATCTTTCCATCTTCTCTCTCCTTCCCCTTTTTCCCATTCCCTCCCCTGTTCCTTCTCTCTCTCCCTCTCTCTCTCTTTCTCCCTCTTTCCCTCTCTCTCCCTACACCCTCCCCCATCTCCCTCTCCTTCTCCCTCCTTCCCTCCCCCCCCGTCTCTCTCTCCTACCCCACGTCCTCCCCTATCTCCCTCCCTCTCCTTCTCCCTCCCCCCCCCTTCCCCTCTTCCTCCTCCCCCCTCCTCTCCCCCCACCGCTAAAGAGACAGGTGGTCGCGGGCGGTCCATGTCACACACACACACACAATCCTCACACCACAACGCCCACGGGAGAATTTGCCTTATTAATATTCAAAATCCAATCAATAATCCATAATGATTTGACAGAGGCTACGCAGATTTGTCACGCGCCATCAGGAAATAAAGAAATGAGAGAGAAAGGGGGAGAGGGGGGAAACATCGTCATATAGGCCTACGTAAAATCATTCATCAGAATATGTAGATATAAAATCGAACTGGAGCTTATAAGACATTATTTTTTTTTCATTCGTATAAGTCTCTCCCTCCTATCTCTACCCCTCCCCCCCCCTCTTCTCTTCCTCTCCCCTATCCCCTCTACTCCCCTCCTCTCATCTTCTCACAATTATTATTTATGTCCATCACCCTTATCTCCATCTTCACATTTATGTCTCTTTCCTTACCCCTCTCTTCCTTCCCCCCTTCCCCTACCCCTACCCCCTTTATCTCCCTACCCCTATCCCCCCCTAGCTCCCTCCCCAACCCCAACCCCCTAGCTCCCTCCCCCAACCCCTACCCCCCCTAGCTCCCTCCCCTTATCCATAATCCCGCCTTATTCCCCCCCCCCACCCCTATCCTCCCTTCTTTACCTCCCCCCCTCCCCTCCTTTGACGATGATGAACAAGTTGCATGACTCGAGAACACACAATTGCCTATTAGTGGGAACATAAATATCCCACAATCGCTGAGACCTCATTAAGGGCTGACTGGTTGGCTGCTCCCTGCCCCCCCCCCCCCCCATCCACTGACTCTCTCTGTCTCTCTTCCCTCCTCTATCATCCTTGATTCCCGTTCCTCATTCATCCTTCCTTCCCTCCCTCCCGCTCTCCACCCCCTCCTGCCCCCACCATTCCTCCACCTCCCTCCCACCATCCCCCTCCAACCCCCTCCCTTTCACCATCCCCCTCCAACCCCTTACTTACTCCCTCCCACCCTCCCCCTCCAACCTCCTTCCCCCCTTCTACCCACCCTCCTTCCCCCAACCAACAAACTACACCGCTTGTCACTTAAGCCTGAGTTCCGCGGTGAAATGCAGCTTCCTGGGGGGTTGCTTGGGACCGCCCCCCCCTCCCCCTAAGCCCTCCTCCTCCTGCCACGGCCCTCCTCCTCCTCCTCCTCCTCCTCCTCCTCCTCCTCCTCCTTCCGTGACAATTAGGAGGACGGCCGCCGCTGCATTACGGCGAGGATGTGCAATTGCGAGCGAGAGTGCGCGCGCGGATGTCCGTAGAAGGGGAGTACGTACATACGCATTGCATTATGTAACGTGTGTGTGTGTGTGTGTGTGTGTGTGTGTGTGTGTGTGTGTGTGTGTGTGTGTGTGTGTGTGTGTGTGTGTGTGTGTGTATTTCCGTCTGGTTTACGTCCGAGCGTGTACGTTTGTACGTACTTACGCAACATACATGGACAATTCCTCTCCTCCTCCTTCTCCCCTCCCTCCCCTCTCCCCCCTCCCCCCCTCTAACGCGCAGAAACAGAAACAGAGACAAAAACAGAAACACAAACCCACACACAAAAAAATAAAACAAATAAATAAAAAATATTAATTAAAACGTCGCTATTAGGCCTGGTCGAGAGTCGAGAGAGCCACGCCGTCACCCCCCCCCCCCCCCCCCACCCCCCATAAGCCTGAGAACCCCGCGCGTGGTTAATCCCGGAATCTGAGAGCCGAGACGCTTCTTTTAATTTGGGAGCCGAATCATGGGGCGCAATGGGGAAGAGGGGGGGGAAGGGGGGGAAGGGGGGGAAGAGGGGGGAAGGGGGAAGGGGATAGGGAGTGGGAAGGGGAAGGGGGCGGGGAAGGGAGTGGGGAAGACGAGGGGGAAGGGAGTGGGGAAGGGGATAGGGAAGAGGGTGGGGAAGGGGGCGGGGAAGGAAGTGGGGAAGACGAGGGGGAAAGGGATGGGGGAAAGGGGTGGGGGTTTTGGGCTCGAGGAAGATAAAGAAAGAAAGAAGCGAAAGGCAGAAGGGAGAAGAGGAGAGAGGAAGGAGCGTATGGGAGAGGAACGAATGGGGAGGAAGAAGATCTTGGTAAAAGGAGACAGGTGGAAGGGCACAGGAAGGGGGGAGGGGGCAAGGAGGCGGGAAGGCAAGGTGATAGAGAGATAGGGAAGGAGAGATCAGGAAGACAGAGAGACAGGTGGCATGGAAACAGGGAGACAGAACATGAAGTAAGCAGGGAGACAGGGAGAAAGCAGGGAGTAAGGATGTAAAAGCGCAGGGTGCCAGGTCTCGTTCTCCGCCGCAAACGGAGGCTCAGACCGAATGCCGTGAGGTGTGAACATTATCTCTCGTAGACCTATCGAGCTCTCCTGTCTCCTCCCTGTTGATGACAAAGGCAGTCGCTGCGTGCCGTGCTCTCGCTTTCTCTCTCTCTCTCTCTCTCTCTCTCTCTCTCTCTCTCTCTCTCTCTCTCTCCTTCTCTTCCACTTTCCACTCGTTTCATCTCGGGTTAATGATAATTACAAAGGGCGTGAAATAAAATAGCTGGGTCTCATAAGCTTCTTCTCTCTGTTTCGTTCACTCTCTCCTGTGAATTTACTTTCATCAGTCTCTCTGTCTCTATATCTGTCTGTCTGTTTTTGGCTGTTTGTCTCTGTCCGTTTGTCTGTCTGTCTGTCTGTCTCTCTCCCTCTCTCTCTCTCTCTCTCTCTCTCTCTCTCTCTCTCTCTCTCTCTCTCTCTCTCTCTCTCTCTCTCTCTCTCTCTCTCTCTCTCTCTCTCTCTCTCTCTCTCTCTCTCTCTCTCTCTCTCTCTCTCTCTCTCTCTCTCTCTCTCTCTCTCTCTCTCTCTCTCTCTCTCTCTCTCTCTCTCTCTCTCGCTCGCTCTCTCTCTCCCGACGCAATTCCTTGGACAGGCTTAGATAGGCCTGGATGCCTGCACCCTGGCAACGCCTTCCCCCCCCCCCCCCTTTTTCATCTTTCCTTTCCTCCCGAGTTCATTCCTCAGGGGCGTGCAATCTCACTCACTCTTCGCTCACTTACGCCTACACCCCCAATCTCACCCTCGCCCCCCCCCCATCTCCTACCGCCCCCACTCACCCTTCCACCCCCACTGTCCCCTCTCATCACACCCCTACTCCCCCTTACCCCCACCAACCCCCCTCCCCCCCTCCCGACCTCTGATAAAACGCCCGACATCTGTTAAGAAATCGGGACATATCCGACTTCACACTTCCTCTCCGCCTTATCGGGGAAGAAGCGGTCTCGTGGCCCTGATAAAGATCCGAGAGGCTGCGCGCGGGATCGTCGTCGTCCGATTGGCCACGTCCGATTTCGTGTCTTCGCAGCGTGGGAGGAGGAATTTCGTGGCGATGTCGTTGGTGTTCGTCTTTCTCGCCCGTCCTTGTCGCGCGGCCCCTAGTTTGGTCTTGAGAAATGGGGCGGGCTCGGTCTAGGGCCAAGTCGGAGGCGAAGACGGCGGTTTGTCTGTCATGTCGGTATGTCCGAACGTCTCTCTGTCTGTCTGTCTGTCTCTCTCTCTGTCTGTGTCTCTCTCTCCCTCTGTCTGTGTCTCTCTCTCTCTCTCTCTCTCTGTCTCTGTCTCTGTCTCTGTCTCTGTCTGTCTCTCTCTCTCTCTCCCTCCCTCCTTCCCTCTCTCGTGCAGGATTCCCCTTAATCTGGACACCTGGACACCTTTATAAGTGGGGAGGATCAGGTGTGTGGTGGGGATGGTGGGGGGGGGGGGGCTCTCACGTGGCTTCATCGGACACGTATCTTAACACCTAAGGGGGGGGGGGGGGGGGAGCAGGGAGGAGAGGAGCACATAGGAACGTTTGATTTGCAAGGGAACTCTTTTGAACTAATTAAGAAATAAAGAAAAAGGAAATGAAAAGAAAAAGTAATTTTCTTTTCTACTGCTTCTACAACACGTATGTATGTTACGTGGATAATACGTGTACATCCTCTGGCTCCATGTGCATAAGCCTATCCGTGTAAAGTAAAGCGCGTGCGAGGTACTCACTGGAGGTGGCGTTGCTGGAGAGGGAGGCGGGGGAGTCGCTGCGGGGGGGCTTCTCCAGCGAAGACATGGGGGAGTCGAGGCAGCGGCTGCCCACGCTGCCGTCGAGCGTGGGCGTGGCGAGGGCGCGCGAGGGCAGCAGGTGGCACGCCTCGGAGGGCGCGGGCGAGTCGTGCGAGGGGCGCAGGTGGGGCACGTCGTAGTGGTGTTCGGAGGCGGGCGTGGCGCTGCCCGAGGGGCCTCCTCCGCTGGCGGGCGCCGAGTAGTGCTCCTCGTACATGGAGCCCACCACGCCCACGCTTGACTTGTGGCCGCTCGACACGGATGCTGGGTCGCTGTAGGCGTGGTCGTAGCAGGGCGGGAGGGCCGTGGGCGGGAGCGGCGCCATGCCCACGCCCTGCGTCAGGTCCGGCGCCAGCCCCTTCAACTTCTTGGCCGTGTCGGAGTAGAAGGGCATCGGGTAGTCTGCAAGGAGGACGCAGGGGGTGAGTGTCCGCAGCGAAAATTATCAATATCACGAAATACACCACTTTTTTTCCCTTTCCAATACCACCATTACAACAACAACAACAACCAACCCTTTCAAGTGACTCACCCGACGCCGCGATCTCGTACATGGGTCCATCCTGGCGGTCCTTCCGGTTGAACTTCCTGAAGACCACCACCAGCAGGAGCAGCACGAGAGGCACCAGCACCGCCAGCACCACGATCAGCGTGATGTCCTGCTGCACCGCGGCGGCCGTCGCTGCAATGCAAGAGGGGGGGGGGGTGAGAATGAGAGTATTGATACGGAGGAAGGGAATAAACATAGTAATAAAGATGATGGCGATGATGAATATGATGATAGTCATAAGGATAATGATAATTAGTTATATAATGATGGTAATAATGAATGACATGCTGATGGTACTAAAGATGATGATAACAATTAATGGTATATATTGGCATTATTGCTAGAATGATAATCATAATAATGATATAACGACAAAAAATATTGATAATGTTAATGTTCTTGAAAATATTTATCCTCTCAACTGTATCAAATCCTGACAAGCGTTCTTATGATAAAAGTCATTAGGCAACAGACCCATCTCTGTCTGTGCTTAAGCCTACCAACCCTCTCCAAACGCTTTAATAACAAATTAACATCCGTTTTGACATCTCCTCGCATCTCCGTTCTTCACAAAACTTTAATTACAACAAGATCTTCCTACTCCAGCTCCCCCCACCCCCCCACCCCTTTCTCCCCACCCCCAGATGGCCTGTGACTTAATCCCGTCCTTAAAACTCCTTACTTGGCAACCTCCCCCCCCCCGACCACATTACATCACGAAGGCCCAGAACCATTAAGTACAATCAAGGAGGTGTACTCTCTCTGGCGTACTCTCCGTGTAACGCGAAACCGTGCTGTTAAAAAAAAATCCCGTACATGTCTCGCGGTGGGAGTTCATGTTGGGCTGATGAGAAAACCCCCCCTCCCCCCCTCTCTTCTCATCTCCTTCTTCTCCTTTTTCTCCTTCTCCTCCTCTTCCTCCTCCTAATACTACTCTCTTCTCCTTCTACTCCTTTCCTTCCCTTCTCTTCTCCTCTCTTCTTCTTCTTCTTCTTCTTCTTCTTCTTCTTCTTCTTCTTCTTCTCTCTTCCTTCCCTCCTCTCCTCTCCCCTCCCCTCCTCCTTTATCCCCCCCCCCTTACCATCTCCCCACTTTCCCGTTCCCCTTATTCCTGTCCTCCCAGCTCCCTCTCCCTACCCCTTCCTCCCTTATCCCTCCCTTAGCCTCCCCTACCCCTCCTCCTCTCCCCCCCCCCCTCCGCCATTACAGTGTTATCTGTCACCCCAGCAAATTGTCAAAGGGGTGCCGATCTCCCTCACCCCCCCTCACCCCTCCCCTCCCCCTGACCACCCACTCCCCCTTTCCTTCCCTTCCTCTCCGCCCACGCACTCCCCCCCCCCTCCTTTTATCCCCCCCCCTACCCATACACCCCCTCCATTCATCTCTACCCCCCCCCACTCAGGGACACACTACGGACACCACTAAAACCGAAGCATAAATCAATACCAAGGGGGAAGGGGTCGGGGAGGAGGAGGAGGAAAGGGGGGAAGGAGGGGGGGGAGGGAAGGAGGAGAAGGAGGGAAGATGGAGAGGGTTAAGCGAAGATAATGAGGTCCCTCTTCGTATGACGTATAACGCTGTGTATTTCTGCCCCCCCCCCCCACAACCCCACTTCCCCCCCTCCCCCCACCTCCCCACCCGTGACTCAAACTGCGCGCCACAAAAGCTCTTCCATCACCGTCGGACGGCCAGACGAAGGAGGGGAGGGGGTGGGTAGGGGGTAGGCGGAGGGAGGAGAGAGAGAGAGAGGGGGGGGGGAGGGGGGGCGGGGGGCGGGGGGAAATGTATGCACCCGCGGCGAGAGAAAGGCGACGTTGCTTACAAGGAAGTGAGGCTGGAAATGAGCCGAGGTCGCTTACAATAGTGTGACACGGCGATGATGGGGGAGGAGAAAGGGGAGGGTGAGAGGGGAGAGGGGGAGGAGGAGGGGATGTGGGGGACGGGTGAGGGGAAGGGGGGAGGGTGAGAGGGGAGAGTGAGGGGAGAGGGGGAGGAGGAAGGGAATATGGGGGAAGGGTGAGGGGAAGGGGGGAGGGAGGAGGGTGTGTGTGGGGGGGAAGGGTGAGAGGAGAGAGGAGAGAGGGGAGAGGGGGAGGAGGAGATGACGGAGAGGAGAGGAAAGGGTGAGAGAAGAGAAAGAGGAGAAAAGTGAGGGGGAGGAGAAGGGAGAGAGAAGAGGGGAGAAGAGAGAGAAGGGTGGGAGGAGGAGAGGGATATGGAGAACGGGCAGAAGATAGAGTGGAATGCAAAAGAGGAGAAAAGGTATTATGAAATCGTAGAAACTGCAGAAGGCGGGGAGGAAGGATGAAACAGAGAGAAATATGGCGAAGGGAAGACAGAAAAGGGGAGATAAAGAAGACAGATGAAAGTAGAACAGGGAAGGACCTAAGACTATGTATGGGGAGAAGGGCAAAAGAGAACTATGGGGAAGGAGGGAAAGGTATAAAAAATAAAGAGGGGAGAGAGAGCGGAGAGGGCGTAGAGTTGGGAAAGGGGGGTGGGGGGGAAAGGCGAAGAAGGGGGAGAAGGGGGAGAGAGGGGGGGAGAAGGGGGGTGACTCCTCTCGTCTTTCAAGAAATCTGGATGTAAATTCTAAGGAGGAAAAAAGTCACGTGATAACAAAATGAAGAGGAGGAGGAGGAGGAGGAGGAGGAGGAGGAGGGAGGGCAGGGGGAGGAGAGGGAAGGGAATAAAGGGAGGGTGAGGGAAAAATTGAAGGGAGAGGCAACATGAGAACTAATTTAGCATCGATAAAAGATGATAAGGGACACAGGAAGAAGATAAAAGAGAGGATGATGAGGTTGAGGGGGAGAAGGAGAAAAATGAGAGGAGGAGGAGGAGGAGGAGGAGGAGGAGGAGGAGGAGGAAGAAGAAGAGGAGGGAAGGAGAATGAAGAGGAGAGGAGATAGAGGAGGTGGGGGGGAGGAGGAGGAAGAAGAGGAGTTGGAACAGGTGATAACGAAGGAATGAGAGGAGAGAAGTAGAGGAAGAGGTAAAGGAAGCTAAAGGGGAAAAACAAGGGGAGATAGAAGCAAAACAAGAGGGCGTAATAAAGGAAAGGGATAGAAAAGGGAAGAAACGAAGGAAGAGGGGGAATCAGAGAAAGAAGAATAAAACGAAAACCAACGAAGACGAGGAAGAAGAGTAAATCAACGAAGAAAAAAAGACAAAAAAAAAACCAAGAGAACAAAAGACCAAGAGATCAAAAGACCAAGAAACCAAAAGACCAATAGACCAAGAGACCAAGAAACCAAGAGAACAAAAGACCAAGAAACCAAAAGACCAAGACACCAAAAGACCAAGAGACCAAGAGAACAAAAGACCAAGAAACCAAAAGACCAAGAGACCAAGAAACCAAAAGACCAAGAGACCAAAAGACCAAGAAACCAAAAGACCAAGAAACCAAAAGACCAAGAAACCAAAAGACCAAGAAACCAAAAGACCAAGAAACCAAAAGACCAAGAGATCAAAAGACCAAGAAACCAATAGACCAAGAAACCAAAAGACCAAGAAACCAAGAGACCAAGAAACCAATAGACCAAGAAACCAATAGACCAAGAAACCAAGAGACCAAAAGACCAAGAGATCAAAAGACCAAGAAACCAATAGACCAAGAAACCAAGAGACCAAAAGACCAAGAAACCAAGAGACCAAAAGACCAAGAAACCAATAGACCAAGAAACCAAGAGAACAAAAGACCAAGAGATCAAAAGACCAAGAAACCAAGAGACCAAGAAACCAAGAGAACAAAAGACCAAGAGACCAAAAGACCAAGAGATCAAAAGACCAAGAAACCAAGAGAACAAAAGACCAAGAGATCAAAAGACCAAGAAACCAATAGACCAAGAAACCAAGAGACCAAAAGACCAAGAAACCAAGAGACCAAGAAACCAAGAGAACAAAAGACCAAGAGATCAAAAGACCAAGAAACCAAGAGAACAAAAGACCAAGAGACCAAAAGACCAAGAGACCAAGAAACCAAGAGACCAAAAGACCAAGAGACCAAGAGACCAAGAGACCAAGAGACCAAGAGACCAAGAGACCAAGAGACCAAGAGACCAAGAGACCAAGAGACCAAAAGACCAAGAGACCAAGAAACCAAGAGAACAAAAGACCAAGAAACCAAGAAACCAAAAGACCAAGAAACCAAGAGACCAAAAGACCAAGAAACCAAAAGACCAAGAGATCAAAAGACCAAGAAACCAAAAGACCAAGAAACCAAGAGACCAAAAGACCAAGAGACCAAAAGACCAAGAAACCAAGAAACCAATAGACCAAGAAACCAAGAAACCAATAGACCAAGAAACCAAAAGACCAAGAAACCAATAGACCAAGAGACCAAGAGACCAAGAGACCAAGAGACCAAGAAACCAAGAGACCAAAAGACCAAGAGACCAAAAGACCAAGACACCAAAAGACCAAGAAACCAATAGACCAAGAAACCAAAAGACCAAGAGACCAAGAAACCAAGAGACCAAGAAACCAAGAGAACAAAAGACCAAGAGACCAAAAGACCAAGAGATCAAAAGACCAAGAAACCAATAGACCAAGAAACCAAAAGACCAAGAGACCAATAGACCAAGAAACCAAGAAACCAATAGACCAAGAAACCAAAAGACCAAGAGACCAAGAAACCAAGAGAACAAAAGACCAAGAGACCAAAAGACCAAGAGATCAAAAGACCAAGAAACCAATAGACCAAGAAACCAAAAGACCAAGAGACCAATAGACCAAGAAACCAAGAAACCAATAGACCAAGAAACCAAAAGACCAAGAGACCAAGAAACCTAGAAACCAAGAGACCAAAAGACCAAGAGACCGAGAGCAAGAGCCCCAATCGCCGGCGCCCTTGCACCGGGGCGAGGCAGGAAGGGCCGCGGACAGTCATAAGCAGAAGAACAAACAACAGATCACAATTACAGAATTACACGGAGGGGAGAGCGAGATACGGCGACACAGGAATCAAAGGGGAAGAGGAGATTGGAAGAGGGGAGGAGCAGGGCTGATGACAGAGGGGAAAGCAAGGACACGATTGGGAGGATTAGGATGTCCTGCAAAAAAGAGGGGGGGAAGGGGAGGGGAGGGGAGGTGGGGGAGGATGAGGTGGTGGGGTGGAGGTTGGAGGAGGTGGAGGGGGTGAAAACAGAAAGAGGAGGAAAAAGAGGAAAAGGAGGAGAAGAAGGAGAATAAACAGAGGAGCGAACAAGAGGAAGGACAAATCATGCAGAGAGGGAGCAGAGAAGAAAAAAGTCACGGATGGGGAGAGAGAGAGAGAGAGAGAGAGAGAGAGAGAGAGAGAGAGAGAGAGAGAGAGAGAGAGAGAGAGAGGGAGAGAGAGAGGGAGAGAGAGAGAGAGAGAAAAAGAGAGAGAGAGAGAACGAGAGTGAGAGAGAGAGAGAGAGAGAGAGAGAGAGAGAGAGAGAGAGAGAGAGAGAGAGAGAGAGAGAGAGAGAGAGAGAGAGAGAGAGAGAGGGAGAGAGAGAGGGAGAGAGAGAGAGAGAGAAAAGAGAGAGAGAGAGACGAGAGTGAGAGAGAGAGAGAGAGAGAGAGAGAGAGAGAGAGAGAGAGAGAGAGAGAGAGAGAGAGAGAGAGAGAGAGAGAGAGAGAGAGAGAGAGAGAGACAGAGAGCAAGAGATTAAAAGCACGTTCTCGAGTACGTGAAATATCTGGCTATGTTACAAGACGTTTTCACCGTATATTTATCATTCAAGATTCAAGCGAAAAGAGAGAGTGAGGGAAGAAAGGAGAGAAGAGGAGAGAAAAGAGAAAAGATGAGAAAATAAACCACAGAACGTAAGTAGACACGGAGAGAGAGAGAAAAAAAAACGAAAAAAAAAAACGGAGAATACAAGAAAACAAACGAGACAATAATAACAAAAAAAATAAAACACGAGATGGAGACCCCGCCGTCCTCCCCCCCTCTCCCCCACTCCCCCCTTCCCCCAAACCCCTCCGAGACGCCTCCCAAAACAAACATTTCAGAAAGTGATCGACCACGCGCGTCACACCACAGGCCTCGCGACATTTATCATAAATTAATATAAAATCCTTCCAAGAGGTGACACTATCCATCATCTTCCGGGAAAGGGGGGTGAGGGAGGAGGAGGGAGGAGGGGGGGGGGAGGGGGGAGTGGGGGAAGCTGCGTGGAGGGGGGTATTGAGGTCTTTAATATTGGGGGAAGGGGGAAGGTAGGGGGGGGGGTTGAGGGGGTTATTCCTTAAGTGGGGGTTAAAAGAGGGGGAGGGGGGTGTCTTTAAAAATTGGGGATGGGAGAGAGAGAGAGAGGGGGGGTCATTAAAAATTGGGGGCGAGAGGAGGTAAGGTGTTCTAAAAGTGGGGGCAAGACGGGGGAGGGGGAGGAGGAGGAGGAGGAGGAGGAGGAGGAGGAGGAGGAGGAGGGGGCCGTCTGAGGGGGCCAGGGAGAGGGTAGGGGGTGCCCCAAAAAAGTTGGGGAAATGAGAAAAAGAGAGAAAGGGATGAAAAAAAAAAAGGAAAAAACGATAGGGAAGGCGGGAAGAAGAATATTAAGTTAAAAATGTGAGAAGGAGAATAAGAAAAAACAAAAAACAGGAGAGACAAGAGAAAAGTAGAAGAGGCCCTTAAAGCGAGAATTCTAATGAGAAGTCGGGAGGTTAAACTCGGCCATCATCAGCGGGGGGTAAGGAGGGGGGGGAGGGGGAGAGGGGGGAGAAAGAAGGGGGGGGGAGGGGAGGGGAGGGGAGAGAGAGGGCGAAGTGAACGGAGAGGGAATGGGAGATAGTGGGGTAAGGGGATATGAGAAAGGAAGTGGAGGGGGAAAGAAGGGGGAAGGGAGGGGAGAGAGAGAGGGCGAAATGAACGGAGAGGGAATGGGAGATAGAGAAAGAAGAGGAACAAGAGAGGGGGAAAAAAAAAAGAGAGAAAAGAGAAGGGAAAAAAGAGAAAAATACAAAACGACTAAATAAGAACAGTCAGAAACGTAGAAATAAAAGAGAAAGAAGAAAGGAGGAGAGTGGAGGAGAGGGGAGAAGAGGAGAGGGGAGGAGAGGAGAGGGGAGAAGAGGGAAGGAGAGGGGAGGAGAGGGAAGGAGAGGGGAGGAGAGGGGAGAAGAGGAGAGGGGAGAAGAGGGGAGGAGAGGAGAGGAGAGAAGGAGAGAGGAGGAGAGGGGAGAAGAGGAGAGGAGAGGAGAGGGGAGGAGAGGGGAGAAGAGGGGAGGAGAGGGGAAGAGAGGGGAGGAGAGGGGAGGAGAGGGGAGAAGAGGGGGAGAAGAGGGGAGGAGAGGGGAGGAGAGGGGAGGAGAGGGAAGGAGAGAGGAGGAGAGGGG